TTCCCGGGCCTGGAGCCGCCCCGCCCCTCCCTGCCACCGCCCGCCCGAGGGTAGCACTCCCCACCTTACCTCAGGCAGCTCAGGTGGCAGACGCGCGGGGACACCCTAGACGGCAAGCTCTTGGGGACCCCTACGGCGCCCCCTTTGGAAATCCAGGTTCCCAAGACGTCCCTTCCTCAAAAGAGGGACCCCAACTCCCCCGACGCCTGGGCCAGGGACCTTCGGTGCCTACTGGTTGTCAAACTCGCACCTAGCCCCAAGTTCCCCTCTATGCACCGTGTCTCCAGGAACGCCCCTTGGGGGAAGCCCCCAGAACTAATGTCCAGGTAGACTGCTTCCTCGCCCCATTCCGGGGATCCCTAAAGCATCTCTTCCACAAACCTGTAGGCCCAAGACGTCCCCAGCTCCCTCTCTGGTGGATTGAGAGCCACAATGCTCACTCTGACCGCAAGGATCGTGCCCCCCCCCCCACGGAGGATTGTAGGACCCCCCAGTCCTGTTCCAAGTCCACTTTAAAAAAGAAAAAGAAAAAAGAAGCCCTTTCCCCGGAAAACCCATCTCCAGGAAACGGGTACCCGCAGTTTCTCCTAAAACAACACTCAATACCCCAAGACTGAAAAAGATACCGTGTCCACAGCGCCCCCCATCCAGGAGCAGGTTCCCCAAATCTGTCCTCAAAGCCCTGCAGGGGATCCCCTTCTCACTCTGGCTCCTGCTGGCGCCCCCTCCTGGGCACTAGGACCTTGCTACCTCGTGTCAGCCCACCTACCGTGGCGCCCAAACCTACCCAGCTCCCTCCCCGACGGCTCTGCGCGCCCAAGGCGCCGCCTGTCGGAGGCACCCAGCTGATGTGCGCGCAGGACTGGGCGGGGTGGGCGGGTTCAAAGTGGCCAGAACTACGCCCTGCGGTCGTTGCCGGGAAACACTGCCCTGAGGCCCCGCCCCTAGCCCCCGCACGCGCCCTCAACTGTGAGACACGCGGTAGCTGCTGCCTGAGTTTTGGGGGCCTGGCGGTGACTTAGCACCCCGCCGCCTGCGTTCTTCCAGCCTCCTCTCTCAGGTCCCAGATTCCCCCGATCCCAGCAGCCTGTGGATGGCACAGGCTTCAGGGGACCACCCCCCATCCGACCCACCTCCCCCAGGCTGCTGCAGGGCTTCCCGAATGAATGAGTGTGGGGGGTGGAAGGGACAAGAGATGACCGGAGGTCACAGAGGTGACTCCTCCAAGCCCAGAGGGGCCTTGGGCTTCCACTGCCATCCTGTGCCTCAGTTTCCCTGTGGTATGTGTTTCGTAGATCCCTGTGGGATGCAGTGAGGATCCGAGGCGTGTGAGCTCCTGTGCTTGGTGCTGGTAGGTGCCATGATGTCCCCATCTCCGCCACATCTGTGGTGACAAATGCACGTCAACACAGCAGCGTGGCAGTGGGCCACTCAGGTGCGGACTCCCAAGGCTTTACTCCAGGTGAGGTCACAACCACCACCATCATGCGCAGATGCCCCGCCAGACAGGGCTCGCACACTGAGTGCCCTGCACACACGCGTGGACCCAAGCCGCAGGCCACGGACACAGTTCCACGGGCCACCAATGTCTGGCCTGCCTCTCACGCCCACACACAGGTATGGCTCGTGCCCTAAGTGATTCTCTTCCAAAGTCACACATACACACTCAGAGCTGTCCCTTGGAGACATCCACTAACACACACACAACACACCCTTGCCCCTCAGGAATTTTTCAGGTGCTTGTGCCCACCACACTTCTGCATGAGGAAACACTCAGCAGATCCTCACACACACTCCTTCACTGTCTGGCACTGGTTAGAGCACACACACACAGTCGGGCCAGCTGTACTGCACAGACAAAACATCACACCCCCGGCCAGCTGGCCACCCATGCCACACCCACTCCAGGAAAACACACCTCCCAGCCCTCGTATGCACACACACAGCATGCACATGAGGCCCCGTGCAATGGTGTGCACACACAGCCACACAACCACAGACTCCTGGGGACACACGCTGGCCAGCATGGCTCCAGACACTACACAGCTAGCCAGAGCACCCCCACCTGGCCAGCCACCATTAAACTGTCAGCGGCTGCCCCTTGCCACCTCCTGTTGACGGCAGAGACTGGGGGCCGTGGGGGTGGGGCCAGCAGACACATGGGGTACAGGACACACACATGTGCCCACCATGTGGACGCTCATAAAATGGTTGTCTTGGCAACAGAGACTTGAAAGACTTGGTTCTGCTTTTAGGATGGAGGGACATGGGGGGGCAAGGTCTCAGTGAGGGGACACAGCCAGGACCCACGCCTGGCTAGTCACATCCAAGGACACCCATAGAGGAGACCCGGCCACAGAGGGACACCATCTTGCTACGTGGTCACACCAGAAACACAGGTTTCACCCTCCCACACATTGAGCCACCTCCTAGGCAGGCAGTGACAGACAGACACCTTGTCATACTCTCTGAGTCATTCCACAGCCCTGAACTGGGCCACACGGGGACATACCTCCCCCTACAGAATGCAGAATCGCTGCACCCCCAGCAAGGCTGGCGCGTGGGGACCCTCCTCAAAGACCCACTCTCTGGTGGCCGCACTTGCGTCAAAGACACTGTCTGAGCCAGGCTGCCCAGGAGGCAGGGGACCCGGGGACTCTGCAGGAAACATGGGTATTTACAATGCTTTATTTTTAAAACTTTCCACGTCCCAGACGAGGGCAGCTGCAGGGCGGGGTGGAGTCTCCATCCCCCCAGCTTCCAGGGCAACTCTGGGTGTGGTCTGCACTCTTCCCAGAGCAGAGAGGTGGGGAAACTGAGGCACAGAGAGGCACGAAAAGCCTCCCCCAGAGGCATGGCACTTCCCCCACTAGAGATGGTTGGCACCGCTGGGAGTCCCATGAGGCAGGAGAGGAAAGGTACAAGGTATCTGAGGTGCAGCCCACAAAGCTTACCTGTTTGCCCGGGAATTAGTTCTGCTCCTTCACAGTCTCCTCAAATGTCTCCCCAGGTGGCTTCTGGTGACCACTGCCCGCCTCCCAGGTGGGCTCTTGTTGATTGTGAAATCCAAGGATCAGAGAGGTCAAGCTGCAGGCCCCAGGTCACACAGCAAGAAGAGGCTCCAAACTGGGGGCTGGGTGACTGCAGAGCACTATGCCCCTGTCAACTGTCCCCTGCCCCCTCCCTCATCCCCTCCCTGAAGACTGTCTCTCCTAAGGGGGGGGGGGTCTGTTCCTGGTTAGAGACCCAGGCAGAGGTTCTGGGAGGCCAGCGGCTTCAGGCCAAGACTTGAACTTGGCTGGTGGAGAAATTTCCATCTTAGTACTAAAAGTTGGTCAGGGTCCAATCTGCCTGGGGCAGCACCCGAGGAGCCCCCCAGGGACCATATCTTTGGGGATGGAGGTGGCCAGGCACTCATAGTATCCTCTGTCCCCACAACTAGCATTTTTCATCTCCACACAGCCAACAGGGCTCTTTTCTTTCTTTCTTTCTTTCTTTCTTTCTTTCTTTCTTTCTTTCTTTCTTTCTTTCTTTCTTTCTTTCTTTCTTTGTGTGTGTACTAGGATTTGAACTCACGAGCCTGTATTTGCCAGGGAGGCACTATGCTACTGAGCTATGCCTCTAGCCCTACGTTTTGCTTTTCTGTGAAGCTTTATTCCTGGTGAAATGGCTCTTTGTATCCCTCCAGGTCAGCAAGATAGCACTTTTGTTTCTGCAGACCTGCAGCTGCCCTACCTGGGGGACACCTGCACTGACTGGTACTTGAAAAGCACTTTAAAAATTTTTTAACTAATTAATTTCTATTTTTCAATTTAATATATCCTTTTTTAAAATAACTGACTTTTAAATTTTTATCAAAGAATGACCAGTGGAGCAATGTAACAGTCTGGTGTGGTTTGGGTGGATTGAACGATAACTTTTATTTTCCTGTATAATCAGCATGGATGACACCAAGCCAACCTGGAGAGCTCTTGTACTGAGGCTCTGCTTCCCGTTGCCTTTTATCCTCTAGTGCCTCAGGGCTGGGTGAGCTGCAAGTAGTAGGGGAGTGGGCTACTCCCATAGTCATGACCCTGCTACTTAGCCCTAGGCATATAGGACTGTAGTTGGTGATGCGCGCCAACTCCTGTGCCTGGACTAGGCTCACAGACACACAGGCAGCTGGGGATTCCCAGCCAGGTCAGCCTAGGACCAGAGTACTAGGCACCCTCCTTGAACGTGGTTTGTGCCTCTACCCCCTGGCTGCAGGGCCACACAGCTTGGAACCAACTGCTTATAATTTAAACTAATTTTTTTTTCTTTTTTGTCTGATTGGGCAAAGCTGGAGGGTTCAAACTCTATCTGCTATACCTTTGTGCTACCATCCTTGTCTCATTTGAGACTTGATTTTAAAACAGTACTCCAAGGGCTGTTGAGATAGCTCAGCAGACTAAGCACCTGCTTAGACAAGCACAGGGACCAGGGTTCAATCTCCGGCACGACATGACGCACAGGCCCTGCCCCCAGGTACACTGAGCGGGTCTTGGTCATCAGCACTGAGTCTGATGGCGCACTCCTGGAATCCCAGTGCTGGGAGGCTGAGACAGGAGGATCACCGTGAGTCTGAGCTGCATAGTGAGACCCTGTACCAAGTACACAATAAATGAAACAGTGCTCCATGCTAAGTCCTTTATGGTGGCCTTAGAAAGCAACATA